CCTAAGTGGACGCTGGAGCTAGTGACAGAGCAGAGCTGGCTTTGCAGGTCGGGAGTTCGCTTCCCCAGCCAGCCTTTCGCTGTAACTGACTTCTATAATCAGGTGCCCCCAGTCACAAAGTTTCCATTGCTCTGACACCCAAGCGTAAGGGATGGAAACAATTTCTCCTATTATTACAATACAAGGAGGGCCAGCGCACGCAGTCTGTCCCGCAGCGTCCTGTCCAACGCTGGCCCTATTTCACAGGTTCTGCTCCTGTCGCGCTTTGTGTCATGAATCCGATTCTAGGCAACATCATGCCTTCTGTAAAATGGCTCTTTGAGAGCTGTATTCTTCTCTGACACTGTGTCCCTTAATTCCGCCCGCCAATCTTGTCAACGGCCCATGGTTGCTCCTTTTTATTCCCTTGCATGTTTGGGGGGTGTCTGCTCAGGGGTCCTGGCTGGCGTCTTTGTCAGTCTCCTGCCTGCTCATCTGAGATGCTTGACTCCTCACCGGCTTCATTAGGCTCCACCAAGGGGGGCTGCCTCACAGGGGGAGAGCGGAACCGAGAGCCACATTTAAGGTCGATTTCACTTCGCATTTTAAATGAAATGTGAAGGAACTTCATTTGTGCTCATGTTTTAGGTCTCAATAAGAGAGGCCTTGAAACTGCTGTCTGCAAGAACGCCCCCAAAGTGAGAAACAAAAACACAGTAGGGTGAGCGGTCTTTACTTTCAGTCGGTGAAAATCAAGTCAGGTATGGTCTCTTCTCTCTTAAGCATCAGCCGGGGGCTCCCCAGGAACAGGCCCCTCGGCCCACTGAATTAGAATCTGCTTTTAACAGGATGCCCCGGTGACTGTGTGCACGTTACGGCCTGTGCTGGTGTCATGCTCGGAGCCTTCTCACTGGAAGGCGCAGTCAGTCTCATTGTACACAGTGGTTTTGTCACTTCGATGTAAAAAGTTTGAAATTTCCATGATCTGGAGCTAAACTTCATGTCAGGTGTGGCATAGGTGCTCTTTTCTTCCAGATGATTAACCAGTCCTCCCGAGGTCCTTTCTCAGCTCCCCACTGTTAACATCTTTATTAAGATGGGAAGGGACCAGCAGTTGGCGTAATGGCTGTGTCGCTGAACTCCCATGTAGTCCACAGCGGTTCGAGTCCTGGACCCAGTGGCTTGAGGCGTGGCCATCCTCGGGGGGTGGGGGGGTGATTTTTGTCTCTCTTTCTGGGGAGTGCCCGCGCCCTATAGCAAAAACCTCTCCAAAAAAAAAAAAGATGGGGAGGGGAAGAAAGAAAAATTATGAAACGGCATGTGTAGGGTTTGTTCAAAGCAAGAGGAGTGTCAGGAGAAGTAAGGAGGGGCCAGCCAGAAGGCGGCCTGGACGGCCCACCGGCCCCGGCCCCGGGGCTTGAGCGAGAGCGTGTGCTAGCAGCACGGAGGAGGGGTGCAGTGTGGCTCTACCCCCTCGGCCCCGCACTCTTCTCCCGGTCCAGCGAGCGCACTTGCCCTATAGCAAACTTAAATTAGAAAGAAAGAAAAAGGCGAGAAGCACTCCGAGGGTAAATGAACGGTGTCTGACTGTGCAGGGGCGAAGGAAAATTCAGGGTCTGGCAGAGCGCGGCGCTCCGGCCCGGGCCTCCTGCAGGGCCGGCCCAAGGGCTCTCGCGGCGCCC